AACGTATCAACTTAAAGTAAAGAACGTGGATGGCTAAGTAGGAGCTCTCTGATGGTAATTCAGGCACTCTTTTTTCTTGTATTAGTTAAATGTCAATGTGGGATGGCTAAGGCTAATAGATTGCTGAATTTGTATTTTTAGTTTTAAGAAAAACCAAAAAGAGGTGAGATTGTTGATTTTACTGGTCGATAATGTTGCCCGTAAATTTACCCTTTTTCTGTATTTGTCCAATAAACATTGCAGTAAACTTGTGGAAAAGATTGTTGATTTTTTTCTGAAATTTCCACAAGTTATTATGAACCCTTGAATTTCCCTATCAACTCGAACCTCTTATTGCAATGTTTGCAAGTTGTAACCTTTTCCACAACTTTTCTTGGCCAAATGAATGGCCATAAGAAAGAGCAGTGCTGCAAAGTGCACCTCTAATTGGCCAAGTGCACTAAGTATATTAATAAACATTGCAATAGGCTTGTGGAAAAGATTGTTGATATTTTTCTGAATTTTCCACAAGTTATCATGAATCCTTCAATTTCCCAATCAACTTGAACCACTTATTGCAATGTTTGCAAGTTGTAACCTTTTCCACAAGCCTTCCTGGCCAAATGAAAGGCCATAAGAAAGAGCAGTGCTGCAAAGTGCACCTCTAATTGGCCAAAGTGCGCAAAGTATGTTAATAAACATTACAATAAGCTTGTGGAAAAGATTGTTGATATTTTTCTGAATTTTCCACAAGTTATTATGAATCCTTGAATTTACCTATCAAGTCGAACCACTTATTGCAATGTTTGCAAGTTGTAACGTTTTTCCACAAGCTATCTTGGCCAGACGAAAGGCCATAAGAAAGAGCAGTGTGTCAAAGTGCACCTCTGATTGCCCAAGTGCGCTAAGTATATTAACGAACATTGCAATAAGCTTGTGGAAAAGATTGATTTTTTCCTGAATCTTCCACAAGTTATTATGAACCCTTGAATTTCCCTATCAATTTGAACCGCTTATTGCAATGTTTGCAAGTTGTAACGTTTTCCACTAGCTTTCCTGGCCAGTGGAAGGCGAATCATGCAAATTACCCCCTAAATATGTCAAGAGGTGGCAAAAAAGCTCCCCAACTGAAATCAGTAGCACATGACTCCTTAAACTCATGAACAGTAATAAATCAACCCTCATTTAACTGCTATGTTAGTGTCCGTTGAAATTAACAGTTCTCTGGTTAGAATGGATTCCACAGCTTACTTGGACGCTGTGGCTTATTGAAATTTGAAATGGCCTCTCATGTTATTAAATCATTAATCTTTTTGAATTTTCTTAAATATTCCATTAAAATTTAATTATTGTACTTTTTTTGGTACATTAAAATTTAATTATTTGTAATAGAAAGCAATTAGATTAATTAAATCTCAATTGTCACTTTGTCAAGCAAACAAAAATGAAAAATCCTATGTATTGCAGGATGATTCTACAACTAAATAGCATCCCTTTACACACATGAAAATTATCTCAATTTAGAAAATTTAAGGAACTAATTGTAAATTTAAAATTTAGCCAAAAAAAAAAAAGTTTGAAGGAAGAGAAATTTAGAACTTCAAAATTACATAAACTAATTTTTTTAATATAAATTAATTGTTAAAAGGTATATTAATTAAACTTAGGTTAGAAAAACCATTATTGAATTTATTTGTCTTTTTTTTTTGCCACCTATTCTTTTAAATAATTTTCTAGTTCGTCTTCTAAGAGTGTAAATTAAAAATGTATTTACCTTTTATTATTAATTTATATAAATAGTAAAAATTAATTTTAATTTTATCAAATATTCAATTTAATTATTTTATGTGATATTAATATTTAAAATAAAATTTACTTTTTTAATTTTTATATAAATTAAAAATAAAAATTTATAATAAATATAATCTTAAATTGTATATTAAAGACACAAATTTAAAAAATAAGTTAAAAACCTTCTTTTAATTCACTTTATTAATTTCATGTTTAGAAAAAATATTAAAAAGTCAAAAAAGAAAAATGTTAAAAAGTTAAAAACGAAAAAGAAAAAGAAAAAGAAAAAGAGAGGCTACATCAAGTCCAGCTAGACAGTGGACCCTACAAAAACATGAACCCGGTTAAGTTTGGACGGAATGATGACATTAGCCGTTGGAGAAGGGCCGATTTGCCACCGATGACAAGTTTAAAGGGTCATTTGCTACTGTTTTCAGTTGAGGAGCTTTTTTGCCAGCTTCCAACAAGTTTAGGGGTTAATTTTGCATGATTTGGCACCCTACATTTTTTTCCTTTACGTAACAAGAGTTTTAATGAAGCAACTCAGCAACATACAATAAAAAGGTAAATACCAAAGGAGAAATGTTATTAAATTAGTTGTTGTACCTTTTTGCCACCAACAAAAACAATAATATTCTTGGCAATTTCAACTATTCACCAACAAAAACAATTATTTTTTGAGAGTTTTAATTCATTGCCAACCAATGACTAATGAGTTTCTCTTCTTTAAAATTAATTGGTACTTGGGTATAACAATTATCAATCGTATGAGAATTACAATATAAATAGAATTTACTTATAAGAATTATTATACAATAGAATTTCATTTTAAAGGTTACAATTTCTTCATGTCATAAATAGGTAAATCATGCAATTGCCTCCTAAACTTGTTGGAGGCGGCAAAAAAGCCCCAAACCGAAAACAATAGCAAATGACCCCTTAAATTCATCAACGGTGGCAAATCTAGGGTCCACTGTCGAGTTTGACTTGATGTACTCTTTTTTTTTTTTCTTTTTAACATATTTTCAAGGAAAATGATTAGGGACAACTTTTTTTATCACTTATTGGTGCAATTTTACTTGTCATTCAAATAATTGACTTTTTTTTATTTATTTGAGATTTGTGATATTAAATATATTTATTTATTTAATAACATATAAAAATTATATAAAAAAGTGATACAAAAAAATTATCTCTATATTATTGTCTTTTTTTAATGTAAAATTAATAAAGTAAATTAAATAAAGGTTTTTTAAGTTGGTTTTTTTAATTTGTGTCCTTAAGTACAAGTTAAATGTATATTTATTATATATTTTTATTATTGATTTATGTGAAAAATTAAGAAACTAAATTTTATTTTCAACATCAATGAATATATTTTAATTAGATAATTAATAAAATTAAAGTTAATTCTTATTTTTATGCAAACTAATAGTAAAAAGTAAATATATCTTTAACTTATACTCTTAAAAAAACATGTTAGAAAATTCTTTAAAAAAATAAGTGACAAAAAGAAAAAGACAAATAAATTCAATAATAATTTATCTAACCTAGGTGTAATTAATACACTTTTTAATAATTAATTTATATAAAAAAATTAGTTTATGTAATTTTGTACATCTCAATTTCTCTTCCTTCAAAGTACTTTTTTTTTTATTTTAAATTTACAATTAGTTCCTCATAATTTTTAAATTGAGATAATTTTTATAAATAAAAAAGGATGTTACTCAGTTGTAGAACCATCCTACAATACATAAAATTTTCAATTCTTGTTTGCTTGACAAAGTGATAATTGAGATTTAATTAATCTAATTGATTTCCATATAAGTAATTAAATTTTAATGCATGAAAAAAATTACAACAATTAAATCTTAATTGAATATTTAAGAAAATTCAAAAATATTAATGATTTAATGGCATGAGAGGCTATGTCAGACTTCAATGGGCCACATGGCGTCCAAGTAAGCTGTGGAATCCATTCAAACTAGAGAACTGTTAGTTTTTAATGGAATATTGACATGACCATTAAATAAGGTCTAATTTGTCATTGTTCATGAGTTTAAGGGGTCATTTCCCACTGATTTCAGTTGAGGGCTTTTTTGTCACCTCTTGACATATTCAAGGGCTCATTTGTATGATTCACCTATAATATTTCCCCTCATATCAACAAATATTTTTAATTAGATGGATTCATGCTAATTTTGTGTCTTAACTTCTCAAAAATTTCAATAACCAATGATTTTGTGAAGACGATTTACTAGATTCTCACCTAAATAGATTTAATAGAAGATTATTTCATTTCTCTTTAGAAATTTGTACATAGAAAATTGCTTTGGTAAGATATACATTGATTCAAATAACTGATGTTAAATTAATACTGGTTTCAAGTATTATAGGGGTGTTTGTTTCAATGTTTAGCAGGTAACTAATTGCTTCTGGCTCCTAAACAGCTATTTAATTAAGGGTGTTTGGGTTAATTTTTTATTTAGTAAATTTGAATTAGTTAGTAGCTATTAGAAATCTGAACAGTTACAAGATAAACAACTAGCAAAGTTAGTTATTTGAGTTAAACTTTGTTTTCATTTTTTTATTTTCTTTTATTTGTACTAGTATACCCTTAACAATATTTATAAAATCTCTACAACAACCCTGTGCAATCAATCTACCTACTGTTCCAATACTGTTTTGAATTTTTGAAAAAATTGTGGAGAAAGAGGGAGAGGAAGATGAGAGTGAGATTCAAAGCAAACAAACGGGCATTGAATGCTTTGAGAATTAGTGATGGTGACCTATGATCGACATCGAATGGATCAACGAAGACCGACGTACTTTGGTAAGGAGAAGCAACTGTGGGGGAGAGAGAAAAAAGAGGATCGAGGAGAGGAAGTTGAAGGATAAGGAACGGATCTATTAGAGGAAAAAATGAAAAATTAAATATAATCCCATTAATCCCATGGGGGAAGGTGGGATACAATTCATGTAATCCACTTAGGATGGAATACAGGATGGGTAAATGTCTTCTCAACCATTGACTCTCCCAAATATTGGTTACGGTAAGATTGGACAAAATTTATTCAATCTCACAACTTATCTAGCACTTCAATTGTGCTATTAAGATATAAATTAGAAAATTTTATTATTTATTTATTTTTATTATTATTATAAAAAAAAAAAAAACAAATTAGTTTAACTAATTTAAAATATATATTTTAATAGCAATTTAATTCTTTAATAGAAAAAATTATTAGCTCTATTATCATACACTAATTATAAATACTAACAACTATCAATTATTAATTATAAATCATTAGTTATCAATCATAAACCATTGATGATTAATTATTATCTCTCAACTAAATTTGAATGGCTAATCCAAATGACCTTGCTAAAAGTGTAAAAATGTGAGGTTAAATTAAAATTTTTATCTTAGATTTTATTTACTAAAAATAGACAACTTGAATTGCTAACAGTGAAGAGTAAGTGGCGTTAGTGGCATAAGTGCCCCAGTGGAATGATTATCTTATCTTCAAAATTCAATTCAATTACTGGTGAGTGGCCTCCATTGCCAAAGCCCTTCTCGATGTTGACATTGGAAGACTTGGTGGAGCAAGAGTTGCGGGGCTGAGGTGTATTGTGTAAAAATGCCAGGTTTTTCCATTTGCGTTTCTAGTTCGATGAACTATGACTCTTGCTTGTGATTATTTTCTTTATCCCTTGTACTTTTTTTTTTTCTTTGGCTGAAACTTAACCCCTTGTACTTGTTCTTCTAAATCCCTGGGGAAGGCATTCTATACCATGTCACCAATTTTTCTCCAATCTCAATACAAGCTATTGGATCACAGTAAAAAACAATTAGGACAATAAGCCCCCCACTTTTCTACAGCTCAAGTTACCCATAATTGGTGGTCTACTTGGTTTTCTTAACCCCAACAAATCTGGATGTTAGAAGTTTCAATAATGTTATTAGCCAAAAAAGAGAATAAAAATACCAAAATTTTCCAAGATAGCCAATCAGATGGCTGTCTTGGAACTGTGATTGTAATGCAGATTGTCATCCAACCCCAGAAATAACATGATGCTTCTAATTTTGAACTAGAGCAGGAAAATACAACATTTAATCCATTCTATTTCATGAGGGAGAAGCAAAAAGCAAGGATGTGTTAGTTCCTCCAAACCCAAATGAGTTGGACAAGCCCACTCTAATCGGCATCTTTTTTGAAGCAGTCAGAGGCAAGAAAGCATCATCAAAAATGGGATCTGGTTCACTGACATTAAGCGTTAAAGGTGCAACTCCCTGCAATAATATACCGAAAAAATAAAAAGAATAAGAAAAAAAGAACAAAAACTATTAGCTTCGTTAGAAGTAAAAATTCAGGAAAGTCAAGCACCAAGACTTCTAAGAGATAAGTTCTTCTCCTTTCCCTTTTACTTTTGGAAGCAGGCACATTAGCCACTCAACAGAAAGCAGGGAGCAGACTACAGAAAAGTCATGTTTGGTTTAATGGAATGGTTATTACATTAGAAAGTGGCAACCTAGGATGGGAATCGCTATTCCATTTCCACGCTTGTGCCTTTTTTTTTTTCTTTTTCTTTGTTTTACTAATTAAGTGGTGATAGGACAAGAAAAACTAAAACTTAGGGAGAAGTGGTAATATCTAATCCCAGATGCAAGCATGGAATCCATCCCTAATTGTTACTCTCTTCCACTTTACCTTATTGTCATATTTTTATCAAAGAGTATCCATTGAACCAAACATGACCTAAATTCCAGGTTTTCCACTAAGTTCCACGTAATTATTATGAGAAAGGAAGGCAACTGATCAAATCAAGCACATAACCACGCACATCTTCATAACTCCACTCCTGTTGAAAGTACTTATTAGAATAGCTTTCTAGTGAGCTTTCTGAAAAGTCCGGTACCATTAATAACTATTTGAAAGTTTAGCAGAATATCAAAGAAGATAGTTCATCAAAATGTCTTACATGGTGTATGGCTAAAACAGTAAAAATTGCTTCAACAGCTCCAGCTGCCCCAAGGAGATGACCAATAGCGCCCTGAATTTTAATTTGGATTGAGAAAGCTTGCAAATGAAAATCAAAAGAATAACTATTTCACAACATATCAATGAAGTCATGTTTTCTATTTGGAGTGTATTTTGAACAAAATGATGCGGCAGGCTGGCATCCACCTAGTGAAATTCCCACCATCCCACCCATAAATTACTCATGCAGAGTGAACATTGTAGTAATAATTTGTGGCTGCATCATTTTAAAAGAGATTTGGTTATCTGTTTGTGCATGCAGGGATGCACTTAAAACAATAGCAAACCGACAGCATATCCCTGAAGAGGGCAGATGGTTCCTTTCTTTCCCATACCCTTTCTGCCTCTGCTGTTTTCCATTATTATTAAATTAGCATAATTTATAAGATGGGAGACTTACTAATTTTGAACTCCCAAGAGAAGTCATACTTTGGTAGAAGAAGAATACAGGAAGAGGTATCTTAAGGTTTCATAAAAATAAGCATGCATTGGCTAACAATAATCTGATTGAGAAATTCTTTCATCCCTTTGAACTTTCATCATCATCTTTGCATTACATCATACTCATCCATATCATATGGAAGTATTAATTGAAGGAACAACACAGACTATCAAGCAAGTTAATTTCCAGTTACTAACAGATCTGAGATCAACAGTCATCAGCTGAAGATTTATTGGATAGTAGGTGTACCACAAAATTCTTTTGCTATATTCCCAGAAAGCAATTAGGTCAAATAAAAAAAAAAAAAATTACCTTTGTGGATGAAAAGGCCAAAGCACCTGAGGTTGCATGGTCAGAGAACACAGTTCTGATAGCAGTGGCTTCTACTTTATCGCCTGAAGAAGAGTTTAGAGGTTAGTTACATCAAATCTTAACACCAGTATGTGTTCCACTACATAACATTGGAGAGAGGATTACAAAGTTCAGGAAGTTCAGGAAGATTTACCCAAAGGTGTAGAAGTAGCATGTGCATTCAGATAATCTACTTGGTTAGGATGAAGACCAGACTGCCAGGCATGAAAAAGTAATCACATAATAAACCAGAATATTCTCTGCATATATAGTAACAAGAGACTCACAATAGTCCAAGAAAGCTATTAAGGCACCAAATGGAAATAAATCAACTTTTAATTTTAAAAAGTGGAAGCAAGTGAAGTATTCTTTCCACTTCTCTATTTTTTCCCTGAATTCTGATCATTTGAAGATTAACCCCATACTGAAAAGGTGCTTCTTCTAGACATGAGTAATTAAGAGAAAAAATCAACTGATATTTTTCAAGAAAAAATTTTACAGATTACACAGAATGACTACTCTCTCTTTTTTTCTTTTTTTTTTTTTTGCCTAACCATGAGTGCCTTAATTAAATGGCAACATTTTCAAGCAAAGATAACTCTGTACGAATAATAGAATCATGTGAGAATCTTGGATCTGCAAACAATTCAAAGGCAACCATGAACTCATATATCACCTGTTTCAAGGCACGTGTCATGGCCAAAATAGCACCTCTTCCATCACTGTGTGGTTGAGTAATGTGATGTGCATCACCTAAAAAATTCACAATAATAATATTCAGAAAACAATGATTATAAATAATAAATAACCCAACCCACCCATGGTAGTTTAAAAGTCTTAGGTATTACAAGCAACCTGACATCCCGTAGCCACGAACCTCTGCATAAATTTTCGCTCCTCGGTTTTTGGCATGCTCTAGTTCCTTCATTAGAAAGAAAATTAAAAGAGGGATTTAAAAAATTGG